ATAATCAACAAAAAGCTAATTTAGATATTGATAGTATCAAGACAGAATTAGAAAGATCTCAAAATTGTTTATTCGTGTTTGACAGAGCCCTTGATATAATGTCAAGAGAAAGTACAATTGAATATTTTGAAATGGTGGAATATTATGAAAAGAGTGCTCATCAAGGATATCCAACAGCCATTCCAAGATTACAATCTTGTTATAACAAAGGATATGGTACAACACCAACAAATGAATATGATGCATTATTTGCACCATTGTTTACAAAATTTAAAACCTTTCAACCAAGAACTTTCCTTTTACAAAATACATATCCTCCAAAATTAGAAATGGTTTCTAAATATTTAACAAGAATACCACTTTCTCCAATTATTTGTTGTGCATTGACAGAAAATATTGCAATTCACTTGGTTGAATCATTTGAATTCATGTTGAGAGAAGATATTTCCAAATATATCAAAGGATATGTTTCTTCTTATTCATTGGTTCAAGAAATTTATTCAGAAATATTGAATGCTTCTCAAGAATTTATTCAAATCCAATCAACAACAACTCCAAAAAGTGATTTATTTGATAAGATTAGTCAAAATCTTTCAATTCAAGAATCTGAATCATTCAATTCATTAATTTTAACATGTTTAATTCTTTCTTTAGACGAATCAACAAAAGTTGAAGTTTTAATGAATCATCCAGAATTAATGAAATATGCACCAGATGATTTGAGAGAAAATAAGGAATTTTTATTGGGTACAATTCAAAAATCAATTCAAAAAGATTTAACAATAGATGTTTCTAAATTAATTGAGCAAACATTTACATGTTGGGAGCATTCTGCAAATAATTTGAAATATACACCAGATTTTATTTTACAAATTTTTGATCAATTATTTAATAATTTAACTAAATATGATTATTATAAATTAGAGGAATTTATTAAGGAATTTATGACTAGATTGAATATTTCTAATAATAATGAATTAATTCAACAATTATTTAATAATTTAACTCTAGTACAAGAAAATTCAAGTATTACTAATTTAAAATGTAGTTTTGTATTACAAAATATTTTAATTGAAATTATTTCAAAGTTAAATTTAAATGAAAATATTAATTATGTAATTTTCTCTAAAAACTTGAATGAATTAGAAAACCAATTTATTGAAAATGTTATTATTAATAGATGTAATTATATTTCCAAACAACATTTAAATTCTTGGAATAATGAATTATGTTTGAAAGTTATTGAAATGAATTGTGCAACTTTTAAATTCCCATCAGAAAATATTCAAAAAAAATTAGTAAAATATCATGCAACAATTTTGTCAAACTTTGGAATGGAAAATAGTGAACAAGAATGTTTACTTACCTTTAGAATGTGCCCATCAAGTATGATGGAAATCGGAATGAATAGTAGTATTATAACTAATCATGATTTTTTATTTAAATTAATTGATG